GGGGGAGAAAGATGAATGGGAAAGGGTTATTGAAAAGTTGAATGTGAGAAAGCCAATAAAACGAAAAGGCCATCAAGTGACACGTTCTATTTATATTAGTTCTGAAGTTGGTTTCTGTTATACACCGCCTATGTAAGGTGGGTAAGGGTGTTCACAATCAAATATGGCATGTTTTTATAGAGATTCAATATCCCGTTTGACGCAAGAAGATTATTTCAAGTCGGAACTTAACATGTTTGTCGCATACCTCCGACAGAATCGAGTCAAGTGGGTGGGGATCCATGAAAAAAACAACAACTCTGCAACTAACTGAAGTTCAGGAATGCCTCAAACAAATGTATCCCGCACTATAGTCCAATATAGTGCAGACTGGCTCTACTGTGAGATCAACACGAAGGTACCATGCTGGATTACAGAGTAAGTGACCTTGGATTTTACCCCCATGCCAACGGGGCGTTCTGAATTTGGTTCCTTGCCCGTTTGGGTAGGTCCTATCGGAAATAGACGTCAAATTCGAAGTCCACGTCCCTTACTGCCTTAGATAACCTTACTGTGTTGAAAAGGGCGTTAAACCTACAGAAGATCGATGATTAGAGGAAGAAGATTTGAATCTGGAGGTGTCATCTCTGACTCCGAGGTTGACATGTCGTGAGGACCCTCCATCCTTTAAGGTCCCGAGTTGCCGTTGTACATTCTGCTATATCCAGGCAGGCCAGTCCATGTTTTATGCTGTCTGTCCAAGTTACTCTTTGTCTTCCCCAGGCTCTCATGCCCCACACCCTTCCCTCAAGCACCTCTTTCACCTTGTTCTCGTGTCGTTTTAAGTGGCAAACGTATTGTATTTTTTCTACATTTTATTTTATTCAGCAGAACCATTCAGCAACAGAATGTCATCTGTGTAACAGGACGTCATCTAAGATACATTCAAATCGCCTGTTGATCTCTTTAAAGTTGAATGAGAAAGAGGAGCTTTTCCATTGCTGTAGGTGGCGTGTTGAGATGATGATAAAGTGTGTTCGTACATACTTGTGTCTTTGTGAAGGTGTGTGTATGCGGGTGTTTGTAAGTGCGGAGACAGAGAGGGGAGAGAGAGAGAGAGAGAGAGAGAGAGGGAGAGAGAGAGAGGGGGGGAGGGACCTGACTAACTACGACTTGAAACACTGCGTTACTTTAGAATTACAAAGTTCTATCTGCTTAGTACCCAGTTTTGATAAATTTAACGTTCAAAATTTGAGTTTCACAACATGTCAAGCTTTTCTTAATGTTATCCTTTGAATATCTTGTTTACGACTCCAAAAAATATTACCAGTCTGAGAGATCAGATGGGACATTTAAGGTTTCTGACCTCATGGTCTTAGTAACTTTAAAAGGGCAAAAATGTCAGATATAAGTTTATAATTCTAAGGTAACGACTGGTCAAAGACAAGCCTTGTCCGAGTAAGTGCCCGTCTCAGACAGACAAAATCGAAAGAATGAAAGTATTCGCCATTTGTTGTTGTTCTAGGCATCACCAGAAAATACAACAGGGTGGCGTTTGTATGTAGTGGCCTAGTGGTTAGGCTACCGGACTCGTAATCGTGAGGTTGCGGGGTCGAGGGTTCGAGCCTCGGGCCCGACGTTATGTCCTTGACAAAGGCACTTTACACGAATTTCCTCACTTCACCCAGGTGGAAATGGGTACCCGGCCATAGACAGCGAGAGATCTTTAGCGCCTATAAATGGCTGCTTGCTCTGTATGCTTCCCAGGAAGTTGAGGTTGTTTCAGAATGCTCTCAGGTCTGCTGGGGTAAT